TAATAATGCTTCTTAAGTATGAACCAGTTCAATTTGTATATTTAATGGAGCCTTAATAGAAGTCACAGTCATTGCATTCAAAACGACTCAAGTTTCCCCCCCCCCCCCCCCCCCAACAGGTTCCATTAATTATTTTATTATTCTAATATTGAAATTTATTGTTCTTTCCAAAAATTAGAAGACCCTAGATTGGAAATAATAACCGATTCAAAACTCGAATTTCTGATTGGATTATTCCATATACACCTATTTCAATATAGTTAGTCACCTGAAAAGCTACAAAGCTGAGACCGACAAGGATTGTGGGTAGATACATTTTACATGTGTCAACTGCTTGATAACTGTTGACGGACTTGAGTTCTTCTACCAGTTACAAGTTAACCTCCTCTGAGCATCCTCAACTGCTGCAGTTTGTATCAAAGACTTTACTTGTTGGTCATGAAATATTTCCCATGATTCTTAGCGATCACAGCTTTCTAGGTTTTTGGTGACTAACTTTATTGAAATAAGTATACAGTCAATTCAAAAAACGTTGTCGTCGACTGGCTCAAGCCTACGCGACTGGACCGAAAGAAATATGGGTAAAATTCACTGAAGCGGTTAAATATTCGTTCTGAATTAATTGTTCCCGCTAGTAGTAAAGATAATGTTGGCCAGAAACAATTCATCAAATGCATGTCTTCGGGTTTAGGGAAAGAAAAACAAAGTAGTTATGATTCAGTTCACAATTCCGAAAATATGAAGGCATTAAAAAAACGTTTCCTTCAACACTTCCCGCTCGCCTACGAAGGTTCGTGCTGTAAACCAGGCATAACTAGTCAGATAAAATTATGSAGTCAACTCGGCTTCAATGATTATTACCCAGAGTTCCTTTCGGTCCAGTCGCGTAGGCTTGAGTTGGTTGACGACAACGTTTTTTGAATTGACTGTATATATTGGAAGTGTAAACCTCAGTTCAAAGCTTAAAGACGCATCACTCAAATCAAGAACGTTTTTTACCATTCAACTATTTACCTCATGTAGAATCAGTACTGAAAGTATAGTCGAAGGTTTCATATTCACTTTTAAAAATGGGCCAATTTGACTGGGCGCGAGATTTTCAATAATTACCTGTGTATTTATACCAAGAGAATATGAACTAAGAGAAGGAATCCTACCCATATAGCCTTGTAACCATCATGTGCACAGCTTGATGCTATTTTTAGCTTGGAGATATTTTGAGCGATGAACCTGATTGGTTGATTTCTTGAGGGTAGACGGCTTCCAGTCTTGCAGTAAAAAAAGCCTGTGTTTTTGTTGTGGACATAGCGAAGTGTGGCGCTTTTCGTGTCCTAAAACGAGGCATTAAAGGGAAGCATGATTATCGCGCGAGCATGTTAACGGGTTAAAAATAGTTCGGATTCTAAGAATAGCATCAAAGTGTGCACATGATGGGACACGGGGATTCCTTCTCTTAGTTCATATTCTCTTGTTTATACTATATACAGTTATACTCTACTTTACAGTATTATGGGCTTTTAAGAACTGCTGGAGTACGTAAATTATATAGACCAAAGTATCACGATCAGGATTTGTATTCATCTCGATAGAAAGTATTCAATAACTTATTTCCCAGATAAGATTAGAATTTCTCAAACTCATTAATAATGCATGACTTAAAAGTCATAAATTATTAATGAGTTTGAGAAATTCTAATCTTATCCGGGACCATTAAAATGGTCCAATGCTATGCTTCTTATAGGGTCACATGCATACGCTTAGATACCTTGGTCCAACACTGGATGTCGGCTAATTATGTTCACTGATGTAGAATTGTCTGAATACCTCGAAACTCTCGTCTGAAACCTGAATCTTTTTTCTTCGTTAACAAGGCTTATATTCGACGCATTTTTTTGCTGTTTGTGCCGGTAAGTTCACTTGTTCTTTTTCTACCAACTTCCTCTTCTTTCTCTTTTAGTGTTGGAAGGAGTTTGCGTGTCTGAGCCAACTTTGGATGTCCTTTATCGAACGCCTGTACTCGAATAGACTGGCTTCTCTCTAAATACGTTCTGGCTTCATTGTACTGTCCCATGTTCATGAGGATATTTCCTAGAGTACATAGCGAATCAGCTAACGATGGGTGCGTTGGTCCTAGTGTTTTTTCTCTTATCGCTACAGCCCTTTCTGCGTACGGTTTCGCTTCTTCGTATTTTTCTAATTTCAGGAAGCATTGCACCAGGTTATTCAGTATGATTGCTTCCTTGGGATGATTATCACCATCAGCATTTTCTGCTATGGACAGAGCTCTCTCGAAATTAGTTCTGGCTTCATTGTACTGTCCCATGTGCATGAGTATATCTCCTAGAATACGTAGCGAATCAACTAACAATGGGTGCGTCGGTCCTAGTGTTTTTTCACTTGTCGCTAGAGCCCTTTCTGCGCAATGTTTCGCCTCTTCGGATATTCGTAAATTCTTGAAACATAGCCCCAGGCAATTCAGTATTTCTACTACATTGGGATGATCATCACCATCAACATTCTCTGCTATCGACAGGCTTCTCTCAAAATAAGTTCTGGCTTCATTGTACTGTCTCATGTGCATGAGGATACCTCCTAGAAGAGATAGCGAACGAGCTAACAATGGGTGCGACGGTCCTAGTGTTTTTTGTCTTATCGCTACAGCCCTTTCTGCGTACGGTTTCGCTTCTTCGTATTTTTCTAAATTCAGGAAACATTTCACCAGGTTATTCAGTATGGCTACTACACAGAGATGATGATCACCAAACACATTTTTAATTATAGACAGGGCTCTCTCTAAATATTCCTTAGCTTTTTCATGTTGCCCAAGACTTTTTAAAGTTAAAGCAAGGTTATTAAGAGTCCTAGCCACTCTTGGATGATCCTCTCCAAAATCTCTCTTTTCGATGTCCAAATATCTTTCATAACATATTTTTGATTTTTCATATTGGCTCAACTGGCGAAAAATATCCCCAAGGTTATTAATAGTAGCACTCAAAACCTGAAGATTTGAGACATAGGAACTCTTCTGGATAGCCAACGCTCTTTCTGAACAGATGTTAGCTTGTTCGTGCAGGCCCAACGCATGTTTGGTACAAGAGAGAATATTGAGGGTAGTAGCTACTGAAGGATCATTGCCGTCGGGATGAACCTTCATTCGAAGGTTTAATGCTCTCTCTAAACATATCATCGCATTTTTAAACTGGCCAAGACAATAATAGCTTAAGCCTATATTTGTTAGTGTAACTGCATAACGTCGATCATTCTCATCATTACATGGTTCACTCTTATCTTTCACTGTCTCTTGTTGAATCATAAAGGCGATCTTATAACAAGTAAGGGAAGCTCGAAAGCAACCATGCACAAAGCAGATATGGCCAATTTTTGACAAGCCCTTTTCAACAAGACCAAAACTCGAGCAAAGTCCAGAATCCCTCACAAAAAAAGGTCCACCTTCTTGTTCAATGAAGGGCTGCAACTTAGCTGCGATGGACTCAAAATGGGGAACACGTTTTCGTGTTTCAGCGATGTCGGATATTTTGTCCATATCAAAAGAATGAATATCTGAAAAGGCCGAAACCACGTAAAACACATTATATTTGCTTGTATTTCTCTCACTCAGAACCTTTTTCATGCAGTCATACACAACTTGATGCAAGCGGAGCTCTTTGGACTCACCATCGGAAGAAATGACAAGCGATGAAGAAGCTATCTTGGCAGCCAGTAGCCCATCGTCCTGATTTGGCATGCACTTCTTAACATATTCAACGACATATTTCAGTGAAATCGGGTCAGGAGCTACGTAAGACAAAAACTGAAACGCATGCATCATTACCTCGTTCTTRTCAAYTTCTCTTTCCAAGGCCAACTTCACAGCAGTAGTCATTGTCGATCGGTAAGCTAAACTTGTTWCCTCATAAGCTGCTTCTGTTGCCTCAAGTTGGTCGTTTTGYAGCTTTTCAARATATTTYCCCCAGGTAATWKCTTTTCCTACACTGCATATTTGTTKCATGTAAACTGCAGYACATGCTAATGCAAGGGGCTGGAAATCGAGAGCCCTGGCTACTTCCAACGTGTTGTCATCGCTTTCTAAACCAGATACTTGGCAAAGTAAAGCAATCGATTCTTCTTGTTTCATTCCTTGGCTTAGAGACGTATGGTACGTATAGGAATCACTTTTTTGAATGGATTGACTGTCCTGAGTTGTGACTAAGATCTGACCTTTTCCAACTGTCCTTTCTCCAGCTTGAGGCAAGTATTGGAAAACCGACTTAAGATCTATGATGTTATCAACAATGATGAGCCAGGAAGAATATGTCTGAATTCTGGTGGCGATAAAACCTCTTATTTGTGAGATTTTCTTCTCTTTACTGAGATCCTGTGCTGTACTAATGTTTGTTATCCGTTCTTGGTCACGATTGAGATGACCACCAAACTCTATGTACGACTGAAGCAAGGTATTCAAGCTAAATCCATTGAGAGTGAATACGAACCTTAGATCTGCTCCTTCGTCACCCTCTTTCTTGAAATGTTTCTGCCCGATTTGCCTTGCCATCTCAGTTTTTCCACACCCTGGATTCCCAGACAGATACGTCACAGTTGTCTCATTGTTCTTGGCGTTTCTTAACTTAGTCATCTCTTCGTATATACTGGATACTTCTTCTGGACGTTCAGTGGTATCATGGGAAGGTTTGGGGGGCAACACACAAAACGAAAACAATTCAGCGATACGTTTCTTTTCTGTTTCAAGTTGTTGCTGAAGACTGAGCACCTCGTCTGTCAAGAACATTTTTTGGTTTTTCATATCTTCTATTGCTGAAGGATCCAGCTTCAAGGTTGAAAACGCCGTTAAAACTTTTTGAACAGAAGCTTGGAAATCCACTTCTTCGAGGCTTCCATCGATGGTATGGGCAAAAACTTCATTACGAATTTCTCGTAATGCGTCGATGCTTCTCCATGCAGGACTATGTTTGAGAGATTTTCCAAGAGAATCCGAGTGGAGAATAGCATAAAAGAGGCAAGTACAGTCCCATTCACTGGTGTTACCATTTCTCATTACAGATAGAAGCCTTGCATTTCGACTCCTATTTCTCGGCGATTCCATGTTACAGAAATCGACGGCATTCTTGGCTGTGTCACGCCACTCTCCATGCGAAGCCTTGAAAAACTTGTCCCATTCTTGTTTAAAGAACTTTCTCAGCTCTTCAGGTACAATACGCGTGACAATGTAACAAATACGAAAGTAGTTCAGCTCCCTGTCTGTGAATGTCTTTGACGCCATGGATCTGTTAAACTACAGGCAGCCCAAGCAATATATATTTGTGGTGTGTACGAAGGGATTTACAGTAAATGTATGGGATCGACTAGGAGCGAAAAATATATAATTAAAAAAAATAGTTTGAACATACCTTGCTCCTGTGTCGTTATTAATGGTATTTAACGTCATTCTGGGTGGGTTTTAGTCGTTTTAGATTAGTTTTTGAAAACTTAAATTTTATTCGCGGGTGGGCTAATTTTTCAAAAACTGCTCTAAAACGACTAAAACCCACCCAGAATGACGTTAAATACCAGTAATAACGACACAGGAGCAAGGTATGTTCAAATTATTTTTTTAAATAACGTATTTTTCGTTACATTTACAGTAAATCCGATCCCTTTGTACACACCTCAAATAAATTGATTGGGCTGCCTGTGGTCAAACGACAAGAAAAGAGGTCACATGTCTTTGGTCGATAGTAGACTCGTGATGTCTGTAAATTAAAATAAAGAAAGGAGTGTCAACATTAGTAGTAAATCGAAATTTAATGTCTACTGGGTCAGTGTAATATCTTCTTCCATGTTTTCGTCGTTAAATTTACACTTAACCAGAAGAATTGGTTGGTCATCTAGTTTAGGTGTCATTGTAGTTGGACAAATTTTCCCAAAAGTATGCCTTTGCTCGATTTTGCTCGCTGTAATATTTTAAAGTGAGTGACCAATAGTTTGCAACACTTTCTCTACTAGCAATAGGGGATGCAATACAATGCTCAACCTGTCCACAACCACTGCTAAGCTAGTTAACCGGAAAAAAACTTTGAAGGGTCTTGAAGTAAACATAAAACTTACATTTGCAAGCAAAAATATTCGAAACATGGATTCCTTAATAGTTCGAAAGCAAAAATATATCTCATCCATAGTTGCTTGGGATGTCCTCTAAGACTGTAAAGAAATACAGCACATTGAAAGCTTCTGTTCTCGGCTATAGTCAGCTCAGCTCGGATATATATAGTCGAGAACTGGACCCAGTTTTGTCGCTAACTGATTAATTTATATTTCAAAAATAAAGGGAATATTCGCACGGAGGGGAATTCCCTCGACGACACCTGCTCCTGTTATTATGCTCCTAAGCCAGACGAAGTCAACAACAGATAACGACCCTATTGTTATTGATATTTTATGAATATGCCTACTTCAAACCCTTGCATATTTTTTCGTACTTCTTCATAGTGTTTGTATTGTCCCGTTCCATGTAAGACAGGATAAGATTCGCTTTATTTGATCGAATGTTTTACCATAATACCATGTACCAGTTTCCGATTTATTTTTCATGGTATTTGGCTTTGTTTGCTTTCGTTTTTGAAAATTGACTAAACCATTTAAAATAATCAAAAATCCTTAAAAGTCTTATGTTTTTAAGACACGCAAAAATAATTTTCTTCAAAATGTTGGAAATTGTCTAATATTCTTTAAGGCGGTGGAAAACCTTTTTGATACATGAAGTAATTACTTTGAAACCGAAGTTTTTGAAAAGTCTTTTTAGACGACTCCCGAACGACTCTGCAGAGAGTCCAAAAACCCAAGTCGTCGCTGTTCGACCTGGTGCGACTCAATTTTGTTTGCACCAAGACAGTTTTTTTACGTGAATAACTTGATAAACATTACATTTTGACAAAGTTTGAGAAATATCGATTTTTTTCTGTTGCGCACCTATAGGGGATATTTACAGACAACTGTTCAGTTGGAGTGTAATTTGTGCAATATTTTAGTAAGACGGATATATATAGACATTCACTTCCTATTGGGAAAAATTGTCCATACATTTGGAAAATTTGCTCTTTTCGGTCTTTTTCCTCTCTTTCCAAAGCAAAAGGTTATTCTTAAATACAAAGTTATATAGCACAAGTAAACTGCGTGACAAAACATTCATTTGTAACAGGTCTCCCGGGAGGGATTAAGCCCGTGTAGGTCCCAAGGGAAAGGGTGCGGCGTACTTAAGAACAGAGCCATGCGCGCGTTGGGGGCAGTTGGGGATCTTGGCTGACAAAGCGGTAGTGAACGTTATAGACTGAGAAAGAAACAGTTACGCTGATTAAAGTTTGTGAACCTGCAATGTTCTAGCATAGAGAGGATAACGATAACGAAGGTGAATAAAAAGCCAGAAGTTAGTTAGCGTGTTTTCGAGGCTACGAAACCTAAGAAACCATAAGAGGCGAATGTATAGGCCAAAAGATAGTATGAGCTAATAAAATCAGCAAAAGCACGGTTCTAAATTTTAACAAATTCCTATGAATTATATACCAAAATGTCATCAGGAAAGTCCGGGTTTTTCAAATCCACTTCTGTTTTTTTGACAGGTTCTGTTTTATATCAAGGAGAGACGATTTTTTAGCTTGACCCTGGTTATGTCATGCATTTTCTCTTGTAAAATACGTCCAATAGCGTACATTCAACTCGAAAACTACGGTGGTTTTTTCAATAGAATTCAATCTAAACCATATAATACAGTCCGTGAATAGTTGAATTAACTGAATCCACTTCTGTTTTTTGCCTAAATAGTCATTATTTTGAGAAAAGATCCAAAAACCGTGTTTTTGAGACATAATTTGTATGGGCTCACATGACGGGCGTGAGCTTGAAATCGTAGCTGACCAAATGTTAACAGATTTTTTTCTGATGATCATAATTATTTTATCTTCTCTCACTTGAATATAACACACAGCTACAAACAGCGTTAAAGTGCTTATAAGCCTTTGCACAATATTTTCAGAATTGATTCTTTAGATAGTGAATAGTTGATTATGAAAATATTTCGTCATTTGAATGTCGGGTCTTTAAGATACGAAGGTTTATATTCCCAATATGTTAATGACTATGAAAATATTGTGTAAAGGCTTATAAGCACTTAAACACTAAATCGATGAAACATTGATGAGTTTTGCTTCTATCGAGTCCGAGGCTTTTATCTGCTTTATCAGCGAAGCAAAGCTCATCTTTTTTTCATATTTTCGGGTATGACTCATCAAGTCAATTTTCTCTTTTCATTGGCCAAGAGGATGTCACGTGATAGTCATCACATGTCTAACGAGGTTTATACTGTGACGTCATGTCAGTTTTTTTAAGATCAGAAAAACTAGAATTCATAGTAAAATTTTTCATCGTATAGATACTAGTAAAAATTGTAAAGTTTCGTGAAAATTGTCGATAATCCAGAGAATATGTATGAAATCTCGAACCTTACAACTTTTACGAAGAAATGTATGCAAGGCAATTAGTTTTGAAAATATTACGGAGGACAAAAGGTGGAATTTCATTTCCAGAATTCAGCTTTGTCAAGGACCTTGCAGAAAAAGTGATCATATACACTTTTTATTTCAAAACTTGATTCACACTACTGACCAGTTATTTGGTTAAATGCAAAGCTTTCGAAACCAACTCATTAATCGTATTTACTTTACCTCGACTCAGCTATTGTTGTGTCATGCTTTGCAAAAACCTTTTGGATAAACCGCGGATTTTYATGTGAGGTCCTGCTGAAAAAGCCGAGATTATTTCAAAATTTTCCCCGACAGCACGGAGGGGAATTCCCTTCTACGACACCAGTTCCTGTTATCGATGTTGCTAGGCCAGACGAAGTCAACGACAGATAACGACACCATTGTTATTGATATTTTRTGAATATGCCTACTTCAAACCCTTGCATATTTTTTCGTACTTCTTCATAGTGTTTGTATTGTCCCGTTCCAAGTAAGACAGGATAAGATTCGCTTTATTTGATCGAAAATCTTACCATAATTTTAAGGCACGCCAACATAATTTTCTTCAAAATGTTTGAAATTGTCTACTATTCTTTAAGGCTGTGGAAAATCTTTTGGATACATGAAGTATTTTATTTTGAATCCGAAGTTTAAAAAGTCCTTTTAGACAACTCCCGAACGACTCTGCAGAGAGCCCGAAAACCTTAATCGTCGCCGTTCGACCTTGCTCGACCCAATTTTGTTTGCACCAAGACAGTATTTTTACGTGAATAACTTGATAAACACTACATTTTGACAAAGTTTGAGAAAAATCGATCTTCTTCGTGTTGYACACCTATAGGGAATATTTAGAGACGACTGTTCAGTTGGAGTGTAATTTGTGCAATATTGTAGTAAGACGGAAATATATAGACATTCACTTCTATCATACTTACTTTATCTTCTCTCACTTGAATATAACACACAGCTACAAAAAGCGTTAACACTAAATCGATAATGAAACGATGATGAGTTTTGCTTTTATCTGCTTTCTAAGCGATTTTAGAAAAGCAAAGCTAAGCGCTTTTTTTTCATATTCCCGGGTATGACTCGGTAATGTATAACGGAGGGGGGGGGGGGGGGGAAAATTTGAAATTTCCAGAATAATTCTTAACACCCCCTATAAAGTCATGCAAAAAATACGATCCTCCTAAGCAAGGCTTGTAGCTTCCCCCAAGAATTGTGCATCCCCCCCTTTTTTCTGATAGAAATTTTGCCTATACCCCGTTTATCCTACCAAAATTTTCCTCATTCCCCCTCAATTTCACCTGCCCCTCCCTCTGCCATATATTATGAACGCAGCCCAAGTAAGACAGGATAAGATTCGCTTTATTTGATCGAAAATCTTACCATAATCTTAAGGCACACCAACATAATTTTCTTCAAAATGTTTGAAATTGTCTAATATTCTTGAAGGCTGTGGAAAATCTTTTTGATACATGAAGTATTTTATTTTGAATCCGAAGTTTAAAAAGTCCTTTTAGACGACTCCCGAACGACTCTGCAGAGAGCCCGAAAACCT